GTATGTGTGTATGTGTGTATGTGTGTATGTGTATGTGTATGTGTGTGTGTGTGTGTATGTATGTATGTATGTATGTGTGTATGTATGTGTGTGTGTATGTGTGTGTATGTATGTATGAGTGTGCAGAGCTGTTAAAGTACTTTTAAATTGTACTTAAGTACAAATTTAAGTACAATCTAAAGTATGTACTAAAGTACAGTAAAAATACTTTCCTGTAAAATGTACTTGAGTACAAGTATTTTTTTTTAAAGGTAATTACGAGTACATTTTGAGTACTTTCTGCTTGCTAAAACACTTCAGTGCTAATGCAAAACATCATATTGAATAATATATCAGGTATATTTGACGAATTAGGCCATTTATTACTAAAAATGTAAACAGTATACAAAGCATTTGAATATGCGCACTGAACGTAGGTGGAAATGGTCAGTGAAAAAAGGAGAATAAAAACCAAACAAACAGACGCAAGTAGTGAGTAAGTGATATTATAAATAGAACTCGTTTGAGCAAGACAATATGATCAAATGTAAGTCAGTCCAAGAGGTTGGAAGGTTCTACAGGAAAAGTATCCAAATTGGAAAATATAGAGACGAATTTAAGTTGCTCTTAAAAAAACATTAAATTGATGAAAATGGCCAGCAAAGAAATGGAAAAGTACATTAAATTCTTCCTTAACAAATCCTCAAGGAATCAATGTAGCCTTTTAAAGCAAAAACCACCAAAAAAAAAACTTTTAAAGAAATTTAGGAGGTAGCATAAAAATTGTTAGATACATTGAGAACCCAGTTTCAGTTTCAATTGATTATAGTGGTAAGACACATTTTGGTCACACTCACTGTAATCCACGGCGCCCACGGCAAATGAAAATACAAGTAGTTTCCTAGAGTCAAGTGAGTGTAGTGTAACCAAAGATTCTCTACTATTGCAGTAGTCTCCGTTTAAGATCCCAGTGCTCGGGACAGGGGAAATACAGGATCTTAGCTGACGAAGCCAAGGAAGAATCTACAGTGATCCTTGAACTGACGTGACCCCTGGGTGGGTTTATAACATATGACGAGCAAAGAATGGTCAACCTTGATGACCAATCACAGTGGCATGAGGCATGCCATACACTCAATAGCCTATCGTGAGTCTCGAGATCTTCATCTACGTTTTTCCAGTTGCCCCTCCCCTTTAACTGTCCAAAAATTTCAGCCTTCCATCTCTGATTGTCGTTATGCACCATTACGTTGTGATCACACCAATTAAAATTCAGGCTGTCTCGCAAATTCGGAAATACAGATAAACTGCCATCAATGGTCAGGGAAGAGTTCACAGTTCCGTGTGATCGATCCTGCCTTGAGCGAACTTGTAGGCCCTACCCACCCAGCGAGTGATGTAATAATAGGTGGCGAGCTCAGACGCGTGTGCGATGTTTGGGGAAAAGAAACGCGTCGGTCAGTTGACACCTCGGTACTGTGATCCCGTCGGGGCAAACATTGTACTGTTTCACGGAGTTTTACAACGCTCGTGTGATCACATTCACGAGAGTGGCTGATCTTTACCGCGACGGGCTGTTCTTCGATCTCTACTTTTGACTCTTGGTTGATCGGCTGTGTGTGTAAGTGTATGTGTGTGTAAGTGTATGTGTGTGTAAGTATATATGTGTGTGTGTGTGTGTGTGTGTGTGTGTGTGTGTGTGTTTGTGTTTGTGTGTGTGTGTCCTTGTTTTGGCAAAATCAAGATCAAATGTCGCACAGAAATTCACCGCCACCTACAAAGTTCAAATATTAAATATACAACAGGATATGTTAATGCACGATTGTGCACAGCAAGTTCAAATATGAAATTTTAAAAAATCCAAATGTAGCACTAGTTGTAGTAGCACGTTCGCATACCACATATCAATAGCAAATATCCTCCGAACAGGTTACTCAGCGTGAGCAGCACATATATATATATAT